GTTCTTAGAAGTCCTAAAGAGAGAAACAGAGTGGCTAGGGAAATAAATTTTTTAAAACCTGAAGTTTTAAAATTTTAGTAGCAAAGTGAAGGAATGACAGGAGAAAGAAAAGGGTGCAGACAGGTTCACTGGTACAGACTGAATTTGAAGAACATGTTTAGAATTCTTACTGCCTTCTAATAAAGTGAAATATTATGGGCATAACTAGATATGTTGGTGAGTATGATGAATGAAGAAAGAAGAGGCTAGATTGGAGGTGGATCAAAAAATGCATGTTAAGAAGTTGATCTGGTAGTTGTATGCAGCACACTTTGACATTAGAAGTTGAGAGGAAGAGAGTTCTAAGTACAGGAAGGTTCAAAGGCTATCTTGAAAAATTACATAATGAGTTCAATCACAGACTACAAAAAAACCTGCTGAGACCATCTGACCCTCACTCAATTTCAAAGTCCAAAGTTATTAGTGAGTTTATAACTGGTAGCCTAAACTAGTTATAGTTCCAAGCTGAAGACTAAATTATGAAAAGTTAACCTTTTCAATAACATAATCAACTCAGGAAAATACATTTAAAAAATATTTTTATTGATTTCAAAGAGGAAGGAAGAGGGAGAGATAGAAACATCAATGATGAGAGAGAATCATTGATTGGCTGCCTCCTGCACACCCCTCACTGGGGATCGAGGCCACAACCTGGGCATATGCCCTTGACTGGTATCGAACCTGGGACCCTTCAGTCCACAGGCTAACGCTCTATCCACCGAGCCAAACTGGCAAGGGCAGGAAAATACATTTTTAACTACTTTGTCTATATGGGTTTAAAATTAGATCCTTTTTGTGTTATCTTGGCTTATTTGGGAACCCCTTGATTCTAAATTTTGGTTTTAATAATGAAGTTATCAAAACAAAAAGAACAACCAGAACTATTTTACTTTGGGTGCAGATACAACAGCTGGCCTGCAGACTATACCCTTTAGTATGTGCTTACAGTTGGCTGACATAGTAGCTATTTTTTTAAAATTTATTTTTATTGAACTTATTGCGGTGACATTGGTTGATAAAATTATTTAGGTTTCAGGTGTACAATTCTATATCGTCTGTGTATTGTATGCTGTGTTCACCACCCAAAGTCAAAGTCTCCTTCCTTCACCATTTATCCCTATTTTACCTTTACTACTACCTTCCCCTCTCCCCTTTCCCTCTGGTAACCACCACACTGTTCCCTGTTTTTCTTTTTCTCTTTTTGCTATTCCTTCACCTTTTTTACCCAGTCCCCCCAAGCCCCCTCCCTCTGACAGCTGTCACTCTATTCTCTTCTTTATTCTGTACTGCGATAGCTAGAATTGAACCACTTTAATTTGTTCTCAGCTTCATTTCTCTATCCTCAGAAGCCTTCGATTTAGTAACATCTGACCTGAACTAGGTTGAAATTGGAGCAAAAGACAGATTGTGATTTTTGTGAAGGAATCCTACCCACTACTCTGATTATTTTTTAAAGTTCTGGGTAGTCCCTCAACTTTCACAATTTCAATTACTGTTTTTGACTTTTCAAAAGGTTCTATCTTGTGAGAAAGAGCAAGTTGGTTGATAGAGATGTTTTCTCACACATTAAGGCACAGAGCAGTGCCCACTGTGCAGATCTGACTTATTAGCCAGAACACAATGTTCAGGGTGCTCTGAAGGGAGTCCCTCAGGGTGATCCCTCAGAGTGACACATCTTCCCTAAGTCATTTGGCTCGACTGCCTACCACTAAGGATTAGGATGTATAAATGTTGAATCACTATGTTGTGCACTTAAAACTAATATAATATTGAATGTCAACTATACTTTAAGTTTTTAAAAAAGAATGCAATGCCATGTTAGTCAAAGGGAGAAACTGTATCAAGAAAGAGAGTTTAGACTGTTGTTAAGTCAGGGAAGATAAGGACTGAAAACCTCAGGCACACATAGATCCTTGATCATGATAGTAAATGCTCTTTTGGCAGTTTGACCAAGGCCAAAGCTACATTGGAGCAGTGGAGGAGTTAGAGGAGATATTAAGAAGTGGAGATAAGTTACAGATTACCTTTCTAAGAGGTTTGACTATGAAAGGGAAGCGATGAAAGAAGACAAGAATCTAGGGAGGTTTCTACCTGCTGTCATTGTATTTAATATAGAAGAGACTTGAACACAGTAAATGCTAGGAATGATTGAGGTGGTGAGTTTGAATATTTATGAGGGAAAAGAAACAATAATGAAGTTTCCTGAGAAGGTGAAAGTATATTGACACCAAACAAATTAATAAAAACCTATATGTCAACTTAACAAAAGAAAGATAAACAACCCAGTCAAAAAATGGGCAATGGACCTAAATAGATACTTTTCAAAAGAGGACATAAGGAAGGCCAAGAGACATATGAAAACACACTCCAAGTCACTAATCATCCGAGAGATGCAAATCAAACTGACAATGTGGTACCATCTCACACCTGTCAGAATGGCTATCATCAACAAATCAACAAATGACAAGTGCTTGCGAGGATGCAGAGGAAAAGGAACCCTCGTGCACTTCTGGTGGGAATGCAGGCTGGTGCAGTCACTGTGGAGAACTGTATGGAGTTTCCTCAAAAAAACTAAAAATGGAACTGCCATTTGACCCAGTGATCCCACTTCTAGGAATATATACTAAGAAACTAGAAACACCAATCAGAAAGGATATATGCACCCATATGTTCATAGCGGCACAATTCACCATAGCTAAGATTTGGAAACAGCCTAAGTGCCCATCAGCAGATGAGTGGATTAAAAAACCATGGTACAGCTAAACAATGGAATACTACGCTGTGGTAAAAAAGAAGGAATTCTTACCATTTGCAAGAGCATGGATGGAACTGGAGAGCATTATGCTAAGGAAAATAAGCCAGTCAGAGAAAGATAAATATCACATGATCTCACTCATTTGTGGAATATAATGAAAAACATAAACTTATAAACAAAAACAGATCCAGAGACAGAGAAGCATTGATCAGACCATCAAACCTCAGAGGGAAGGTAGGGGAGGGAAGGGGTAATGGGAAGAGATTAACCAAAGTACTTGTATGCATGCATATAAGCCTAACCAATGGACTCAGACAACAGGGGGGTGAGGGCATGAGAAGGGTGGAAGGGGGGCAATGGGAGGATAAGGACACATATCTGTAATTTTATATGTCTCACAACTATAAACCTACTTTTGCCCACACCTGCATATGCATTGGCCTATATCCATGTTTATGAGTTCTTCTGGGAAAAAAAAATGGTGAGGGGGAATGACTGTTGGGTTTTTTGTAGTAAAATGTAGTACATGACATAAAATTTGTCATTTTAATGATTTTTAAGTATACAGTCAGTGGCATTAATTACATTCATATTGTTGTGCAACTATCACCATCACCCATCTCCAGAGCTTTTTCCACAGCAAACAAAACTCTGCAGCCTCGGAACACCACTCCCCTTCCCGAAGTGCCAAGCCCTGGTGACGTCTAGCCTACTTTCTATCACTAAGAACTGGATTCTTTCACATACTTCATGTAAGTGGAATCATACAAAATGTCCCCTTTGGTGACTGGTTTATTTCACTGAGCGTAATGTCTTCAGGGTTCATCCATGTTGTATCAGAATTTCCTTTTTAGGTCTGAATAATATTCCGTTGTAGGTATACACCATATTTTGTTTCTCCATTCATTTGCTGATGGGCACTCTGATTGTTTCCACTTTTTAGCTATTGGGAATAATGCTGCTCTGAACATCGGTGTACAAATATCAGACAAAGTCCCCACTTTGAATCTTTTTGGGTAATACTCAGAAGTAGAATTGCTAGATCATATGATAATTCTATTTATATATTTTTAAGAAATCATCATCTATTTTCTACAGTGGCTGTACCATTTTACATTCTCACCAGCAGCATAGAGGGTTCTAATTTCTCCACATCAAACTATTGTGTTTTTTTTAAGGATAATAATATAAATTAAAATTTTATAAAATTTCTGTTCATATTTCTTTTCATTTTTTCATCCATTTTTCACTTGATTTTACCACTGAAATAAAAACCACAGGATTTCTGATGCAAGACTTAGACTGATTAGAAACTTTAATTCCAAGAAGTCTACTGCAAAGGTAGAAACAGAGAACATTAAAAGTTATTAAAGTTAATTCACAGGATAGTTATAAGGAATGGGGTCAAAAGGCAGAGTTTCCTCCCTAAAATTGTTTTTTAAAAATATATTCTTATTGATTTCAGAGAGGAAAGGAGAAGAAGAGAAAAACATAAATGATGAGAGAGGATCATTGATTGGTTGCCTCCTGCACACCCCACACTGGAGATTGAGCCCACAACCTGGGCATGTACCCTGAAAGGGAGTCAAACCATGACCTCCTGGTTCATAGGTCAACACTCAACTAAAATCTTAATGTCACACTACATTCCTTAGAATGTGATGACAAAATCAACTTACAACAAGAAGCTGAGAACAAAGACAAAAGCAAGCTCTGCTAACAGCAAACTGAAGGGAAATACGCACAAATGAACAAGGAACGAGTTTAACCTTTCAGATGGAGATAGGATTAAAGGTAATGTGCACCTCCATGTTCTGTGGCTTCCTGATAAAAAGGTAATCAAGAATTTAGGATTATTTTTTCTGACACTTTCTTCAGACTGTTGTATAAAATGAATGATAATAATTTGATTTAAAATATTATAAGCATTTAAGTAAAACAAAGAAATGTTTAAGAAATTGAAATTAAGTAAAATATTCAATATTTGAAACAGGCTAGAATTAGAATCATTATTTTAGAATTAAAAATAATAATCTAACAAAAAAGTAAAATGACAAGATTCATAAAACAACTTCTTCAATTAACACAAAAAAATACAACTTCTCAGATTCATTACAATATGCCTATTATGTCTCTGTATAAAATATTGATGAAAACATTAAAATTCTAATGTTCCTAAAGTTATTTAATACCATATTATAAAAAAGAATATTAGATATATATTTAATGACTTCATATGAAAATATACTCACCTAAAGAATAACAATAATTTCACTTTACAAAAGACATAATATAAATGTAAGGAAACAAATTGGCATTTTTGTGATACATTCAAATTTGTTATGAGAGATTAAGGTAATTTAGTTGAATTTCATCAAAATTAATTAAACTAGAATTTCAGAATTACCGTCTGGATATGAAGGAATACTGTGACCATCTTTCAAAGTCATTTAAGATTATCTGTATAGTACTTTGATTAGTTTAGCTACTACATGTACGTTGAGACTATTTCCAAGTAGTCGATAACGCTGTTTCACTGTTATATTCTCAGGAAATCCTAGAAATGAGAGATAACAATTTGTATTATAATCATTTGTAATAATAACTTCAGAGATAAAAGGATATATACTTCAGTAAGAGCACAGTGGTCATTTACATAAATAAGTCCCTAAGGTCTCTACGAAGTTCAATTAACAAATGAGAATTTAGAGATTTAGAGCTAAAAACTGTATGTAAGAGTACCTTGTGTACACAATGTGACGCTGTCATATCACATTACATATCATACTATGCGCTGTGCACACACACATATACATATAACATCCACAGTACTCCTAGATATTTGTGTATTAGTGTACTTTAGAAAAATCAGTGGCTACCATTATTTCACAGTGTTTTATTTAATAGGTTTTTGAAGATACAATTCACAGTCTATAAAAGTCACCCTTTTAAAATGTACAATTCAGTGGTTTTTAGTATAGTCACAAGTTTTGCATACATCTCCATTATAATTCCAGAGCATTTTGTTGTTGTTAATCTTCACCTGAGGATATTTTTTCCATTGATTTTTAGAGAGAGTGGAAAGCAGGGAGGGGGAGAGAGAGAAAGATATGGGCGGGGGGGGGAGAGAAAAATATTGATGTGAGAGAGACACATAGATTAGTTGCCTCCCACCTGAGCCTCAGCCAGGGCTAGGGGTTGTACCTGCAACCTAGGTGCATGCCCTTGACTGGAAATGAACCCTTGACCTTTCCATGCATGGGCAGATGCTCTAACCACTGAGAACACTGGCCATGGCAATTCCAGAACATTTTAATCATCTGAAACAGAAAGCCAACCCATAGCTAACATTATACTAAATGGTGAAAAGCTGAAAATTTTCTTCTAAGATCAAGAACAAGACAAGAATGTCCATTCTCACCACTTTAGTCTACATAGTATTGGAAGTTCTCGTCAGAACTGTTATACAAGAAAAAGAAATAAAAGGCATCCAAATTGGAAAGGAAGAAGTAACACAATCATTATTTGTAGATGATGTGACATTGTATACAGAAACCCTAACTACTCAACCAAAAACGGTTAGAATAAACAAATTCAGTAAAGTTGCAGATACAAAATTAACTTACAAAAATCTGTTGTGTTGCTATACACTAATAATGAACTATCAGAAGGAGAAATTAAGAGAACAATCCAATTTATACTAGTAACTGCATCAAAAAGAATATAATACTTAGGAAGAAATTCAACCGAGGAGGTGAAAGAGCTGTATGCTAAAAACTATGACACACTGATGAAAGAAATTGAAGAAGACAGAAATAAATGTAAATATATCATGTACTCATGGATTAGAAGAACTAATATTATTAAAATGTCCATATTACTTAAAGCAATCTACAGATTCAATGCAATACCTAATATAATCCCCATGACTATTTTCACAGAAATAGAACATACAATCCTAAAATTTATTTGGAATCACAAAAGACACAAATAGCAAAAACAATTTTGTATTGTTCTTCTTGAGAAAGAAGAACAAAGCTGGAAGCATCACACTCCCTTATTTCAAACTATATTAGAAACATAAAGTAATCAAAACAGTATGGTATTGGTATAAAAACAGAGTTATTGATCAATGGAACAGAATAGAGCACCCAGAAATAAACCCATGGATATATGGCCAATTAATTTACGACAAAGGAGGCAAGAATATAAAATGGGGAAAGGATAGTTTTTTCAATTACCAGTGTTAGAAAATTTGGATAGTCACATGCAAAAGAATGAAAATAGACTATCATACATTGTACACAAAATTAAGTCTTTAATCTTGAACATAGACTTGAAACCATCAAACTCCTAGAAGAAAACATAGGTGGTAAGGTCTTGTAGATGATATTTTTCTATATAACTCCAAAAGCAAAGGCAAAAATAAACAAGTAAGACTAAAACTAAAAAGTTTCTACACAGCAAATAAATAAATAAATAAATAAATAAATAATCATCAACAAAACAAAAAGCCAGCTCTGGCTGGTTGTGCAGTGGTTAGAGCATTGGCCTGTAGACCTCAGTTGCTGGCTTGATCCCTGGCCCCCAGTTGGGGTGTGTGCAGGAGGCAACCAGTTAATGTGTCTC